CCCCAAAACCCCAAAACCCCAAAACCCCAAAACCCCAAAACCCCAAAACCCCATTTCTTATTTGTTAAATAGAAAATCTAATTAATGTCTGATTATACATTTGGCTTACTGACAATGGCTTTTGTAGTAATTTCAGAAGTATTCACGTTCTTGTCTTTCTCCTTCTTCTTACTCTCATCTATAATGAATGTGTCAATTATGAGCAATGAGGAGGCGGCAACCTACCTTCAGGTTTGACTTCCTTTGCAGTCTTATTCTCAGAGTTTATAGAACTTAGCTTTGAACCAGCAATTGCAGCAATAGTTGCATCATAATAATAGCCATTGAATAAGTTTTGGACTGAATTTCTCCTGAGAAGGAGTGTGTTCTCTTTCATTTTATCACTATCTTGATCCTTCCATTCTTCATTAATATTTTTGGAGTCGAAGTTATCCTCTTTTTGCTGAAATATAAATTGTTAATTTTACTTTAGGAAGATATCTTGGCTTGACCCTCCCATGAAAGAGATCGTCCCATGGAAAGTCTACAAGCCAAGGGTGATTTTTTACTTCTGAGGGACCATTATAGCCTAACCTCCTGCTTGGCTTTCTTAGTATCATCTATCATATTAGAATTATAGAATACTTTATTGATGAAATCAGCTGCTTGCAAGCTCCAGTTTCGAGGAACATCACCTTTCTTAATAGCAACTTGTCTATTGAGGATGTGGTCTCTAATTTCCCTCCTTGATCTGCCGATATATGGCCTTCTACCGAACATACATTCATAAGCAATGACTCCGACTGCAAAATAGTCTACTCCAATACCATGATTTTGCCTGCACATGACCTCTGGAGCTAAAAGAGTTTATAACTATCTGGCCTTACCCATATAGCCTGGTGTACCGCTAGTGTCTTGGTAATTTTCAGGTTTGAGTAGCCTAGCTATTCCGAAATCTGTGATTCTCACATAACCTACATACATTGATGGTTTACAAAATCAGGTGAAAAAGTATTTACCATCAGAGTCCAAAACCAGATTTTCAGGCTTAATATCACGATGAATAATTCCTTTCTGATGAATGTATTCCAGTGCACTCACAATTCATGCAATGAAGAACCCTATGGGTTGATTTATTTGGGTGATTACTTGTTTGCTCTTCAGAAAATTTTCTGTGGCAGCAAAGGTGGTACCTTAAATCTCCTCCGGTGAGAAGATCCATCACAAGGTACAAATTTTCCCTATCTTGGAATGCATAAGACATATTAACGATCAGCCTAGAAATTATGAGTAAAATTTGTACGGATATTTAATGTCGGCTAGGATCATCCTCTCGTTCATTACAGACCTCGTTGACTTTTTCGAAATAATTCTCGCTTTGGACATCTCTTTCATGGCATATAATTCTTTGGTCTTCTTTTTCTCAACTTTCCAGACTTTACCAAAACCGCCTTTACCAATGGCGTAGATCATCGAAAAATGATTCCTAGTGATAGCTAAAATTATATTAGTTGGAAAATAATTTTATTGTATGGCTATTAGAACTAAAATTAGAGGCAAACTTATATTTCTAAAGAAATTCTGCCATTTTTAATCCAAGAAAATCACGAGAGAAGGGATGGGAGAGATAGGAGCTTACCTCACATGCTTTCTTGCTCATCTTGTTTGGAAAAAGTACAATTTCCCATCTTTTAATTCAGAGTTTATATATTAAAATATTTCAAGTTTATATTTTTAAAATGGGGTTTTGGGGTTTTGGGGTTTTGGGGTTTTGGGG